ATATTTGTTTTACATTATATGCTAACAAACATATATGAAATAAAAAACTTCTATATATGGGTCATTTTCAAGAAACACCCGCTTTCAGGAAAATGAAGATCAAATTATTTTTTTTGCTTAAATTGACTTTTGGTTGGATTTTTATAAATGTTTAGAGTTTTGTTTACTTACATTTAAGACAGGCACAGTGCACTTTTTAATTTTTTTTACGTTTTTTTCAGAAAATATATCTCCACTGTGTTACCAATTTAATTCAATAAAAAAAGTTGTTATAAAAATAATTTGAAATAAAATGTACTTAGTTCACAAACTTTTGACTCCAATTTTATATTTTATTTTTTATTAAAAATTGTATGCTTTTTTTTAAATATGTATATTCGTTAAGTTATTTTTTAAAAGAAACCATTCCGATTCTTTGTAGGGTGGTACGATTTTAGAGTAATGCATAAACAAAATCCCTTGTAGTGGTGCTCACTTGCAGAATAACAACTTAGATTTCTAAATTGTAGACACCCTTTTTCTTTGACTATACGCTAGTGAAGGTCCCTTTTAGTACTTGTATATTGCGTGGAATGAGTTGTAATCACAAACAATTTTAAATTGGTTTATCATAAACTACTTTTAATAAAAGCGACGGTAAATATCCACTTTGTTATCGAAAAATTCTATTGCGTTACCCTAAATTCCATTGCATTACCATAAGGTAACATAATGGACTCGGTAACGCAGTGGAAAAAGTTTTGTGAAACCATATTTAAAAAATAATAATAAGACATTACAGTCATTAATTACTCTCAATGAGCTTTAGTGCCCTAAAATAAACATAAAAATGAAAAATAGTATTTTTTATTACCTTATTTTTATTATTTTTTTGAGTAACTTAGCGGACAAACAATTATTACATTCGCGTTACCCGCACCTGTTTCAACCGATATCTTCTTCCTAATTGAATAAATAAATTTAACTGGGTATGGAACATCAATTGTTGATCACGTGAGTGCCAAAAAAGTTGCCATATATATGTTTTTTATTAATATTCTATCGGTAACGCGACGGACGTAACGCAACGGAAAAAATGTCTGGGACATGAGTCAAATTTAAAAAAAGTAGATTAAAATTAATTATTTTATATATACTCGTAAATTGTTTACTGTATTAACTAAGGATGTTATAACATTCCAATTCCAATAACTTTGTTAAAAATTATCGGATCTTATTGATTTAAAAACCAAGTGAAAGCCTAACAAGCCCTGTTTACTGTATTAACTAAGGATGTTATAACATTCCAATTCCAATAATTTTGTTAAAAATTATAGGATCTTATTGATTTAAAAACCAAGTGAAAGCCTAACAAGTTTACTAAGGGCTTGTTAGGCTTTCACTTGGTTTTTAAATCAATAAGATCCGATAATTTTTAACAAAGTTATTGGAATTCAAACTTACGGACAGCGGAAGGCGGGTGTTTTTTGAAAACGACCCATATCGACACTTGGTATTTGTAGAATAACAAAAAACAATAATAAACTGAAAAAGTTTGAGAGAGTTTATGAACATTTAACCGACCTTATAGCTTTTCAAATAAAAAAAGGTGCACCCTGTATATGTTGTTGTTTAACACCTTTCCATTAGATTTTTTCAATTTGCCCCAAATTCTTGGTTACATGATAATTAAATAAAATAAAGCAGCACATGTCGGTGATAAAATAAAAATAAAATGTAACAGTCGGTTTTACAATAATTGTCCGTTAAAAAATAACGGCGTTTCGTGGTAAATGGCGAAAAATCCTATCTCGACTTTTCCAGCAACATATGGTTCAAATAAAACGCCCATTGTGGGAGCAATTTCACTAAAAGTCCGTACTCTCAATAAATCTTACAGAATTTCGCTATTTCTCACCAAGAAAAATACATTTTCTGCGATTTCTAAAAAATTGCCTATTTTAGTTATGCTTTTGATTAGTAAATGTATGGCACGCCGTTTTAGCATTTATTTGATAATAATTTGAAGATTTAACACAATTAAGTTAAATTTTTTAAAACTCAAAACAATTAATAGTCAAACATAATTTTAAATATAAAATACAACTGTAAAAATATTGATTTTTAAAAATTTTAGTACCAATATTTTATTCTACAAAATTATCGGTTTAAATTTGTAGAGTGGTAATTTTTGGATTAAAAATTTATCGACTATCATTTAAATGACTATTTACAAATTTAAACCAAAACTTTTTATTTTTAACAATTTTAAATTGATACATTTTTAACCCAAAATTTATAACTTTACATTCAAATGTACTCTCTAAAAATTAATTGGTTAAAAATGACTAATTTAATAGTTATTAGTGGCTGCTTTTTCACTTGTACCATGGTTAACCATGGTATCCCAAAATTTAAGAGCGATTTCTTATGTAAAATTGTCTCATGAATCCGAAAATACCGTCAAAAATTATGAAAGGATCAGTTTTTGAGATATAGTCAATTCCATATTAAATGGAAAATTGACTATATTTTAAAAACTGTTCTACTTTTTTTAACTTTTTGGATTCAGGGGACAATTTTACATAAGAATCGGCTGTTAAATTTTGGGATACCATGGTATTCCATGGTTAACCATGGTACAAGTAAAAAGCAGCCACTAATAACTATTAAATTCATTTTTGACGAATTCATTTTCAGAGAGTAAGTCGATAATTTTTTAATTAAGTGTAAACGTAGCTTTAGCAGACCGCGTTCGCTGTCTCTTTCTGGAGTGGTAAATTTTAAGCGTAGTTCATCTAAATATTTATTTACGATTTACAAAATTCTGCCCAAATAAATTATAGGAAATTATTTTTATTAAAAAATGATGGTTGGAAATATTTACAAAAATTAATTGGAAATAATATTGTTTAATACAGAAGTGAACTGTTAGTTAGTAAAATTTTAAATGTAAACCTAAAATTTTTAGTTGAGAAACTTTTAAATAAAAAAGTCAAAGTCATTTTTTATCACGAATGTGGAAATTATTTGCCGAGGCAAATAACCATGTGAGTGATAAAAAAGACTTTAATGCCGAGGTGCGTATTAAATTTTTTCGGAAATCGCATTTAACAATCCTAATAATTAATATTGCTGATCAAATCAAATGTCATTTGATGATCAAATCAAATATCAAGTGTCTACGTATACTGTTTGTTGCGACGTTTATGATATATTTGCCCGCCGCACGGTGTTTCAATTCTCGAATATATCGGCAAAACCTCAAAAATTGCCATTTTTTATCAGGAAAATTTTGAGTTAGATGGGTAGTTAATACCTGTCTCCATCCTGTCTTGTCTTATAGATCAGTTAAAACTTGACGCTTTCAGTTGAAGGTACTTTACACGCGATCGCTGCAGAAAATTGTTTATTGTTTAAAAGTGAATAACTTGTGTTTGGTGTGTCCGATTGTTATGCGGTTTGATGAAGGGTGATCTTTAAGGTATGTAAAATTCAGATATGTATTTGTTTTTCGTAGAGTTTGCTTGTACAACGGATTATTGTAAATGACAAGATCGGTCTGTTAAAATCGCAAACTTTGAATCGAGCTTTTAGAACAATGGAGCTATAAAAATTGTAATGAATTGCAAGGCATCAGTTCAAGATCCGTTGAATATCGTAGAGTTTTGTCTATCAAGCCATCAATAAATTATCTACCCCAACTCGCCCCCGGCTCTTTAAAACTACATGTTCTTGGGCGCTCAGGCACGGTTGTGGTAAAAAAACCTCGCGATTTTAAGCCTATAAGATTTTTTTTTATTTCTGGGTTGCGTTCATGACGTTTACTCGATTTACTCGGATTTAACTCAAAACGTTTATTACAACAGCGGTGTCTAGACTTTCACTTGCGTAAATCGTTCGTCTCTACTAAGATATTTAAAAATGATTGTACATATTTAACCCACCTCTTGTAGGTGCGTTAAAACAACACCGCATGCGCATTGTAGTGTGTTAATGTCAAATTTGAATTGTGGTTATTTGTGTTGATAATTTTTTTAGCGAATCCAGTGACGGAGATTGTTTAATATATGTGTAGGTATTAAATAATATCATTTAAATGTAATTATAATAAACTAAATTAAGCCATTTTATAAAAAGATGTTTTATTTACATTAAAAAAAAACCTCTTACGGGTTTTTAATTAATTTCGACAATTTTTTGATGAAAATGTCCGCCATTTGAGGTCCACCATTTTAAATTTTGGAATTCTGATTCCAGATTCATTATCAGCGACCACAAAAACCCCTGTATGGTGATTTTTAATTTATTTCGTCAATTTTTTGACAAATATGTCCGTCATTTTGGATCTACTATTTTGAATTTTGGAATTCTGATTCCAGATTCGTTATCAGCGACCCCAAAAACCTCTATATTTTTTTAGGAGACTACTCCTTGATATTTTGCCGAAAATTTCGAGAATTGAAACACTGTGCGCCGCGGCGATTTTTAAATTTAATTAATAAAATTAACAACATTTTATGAAAGGGTCCAATCGACCTCCGCGACGGTGATTTTAAAAAAATATTATTTAGTTGCTGCTGAGGAGCAGTAGACACATTTAAAATGTATAATGGTTTGCATACAATACTCGTATCGGCAGTAAAGTTCTACTTTACTGCCGATTTCTTTTACTTTACTGCCGATTGTTGACTACTTTACTGCCGATTACGGATAAAATTATTTAATAAATGTTTAAACGGCGTGCCATATAGATGCATAAGAAAAACTAATCGATCATCAAATTACTCTTTACGAAGGAAACTAAACTTTTAATCAAACGATAAATTACAGTGAAACGCCTCATTTATTTCGATGTTAAGTTTACAAGGATTGAACAAAACAAAAAACGAATATTATCAACAATATTAATGTGTTGTTTGCCCAATTTACTCTTACGAGTCGCATACGATTAGTTTATAATCTAAAACTGAGTAGTGATTAACCGAGGTCGTTAATGTCTAACAAATTTTCACCTGCAGGAGCCGTGAAAGTGACTCCTGCTCACGATCGCACGGATTTCGAAGCAGGAAAACGTCACGATTTAGAGACGATATCCGTGATTGACGAGAGCGGAAAATTGACGGACGCTTGCGGGGAATTCGCGGGTCTAGGACGCTTCGAAGCTCGAGAAATCCTTCGAGAACGTTTATCCAGCATGGGACTGCTTAAGGGGACGCAGGATCACCAAATGATTGTCCCCATTTGCAGGTAGGAACATGTTTTATAGCGTTAGCATTTGGGCGAATTTTCGTTAAATGTACATTTTGTATCTATAGGCAGGTCAATTTGATTTTTTTCCTTTGTGATAGAACAGTGTAATATACTGCAAAAAAATTCTAGAAGTTTATAAATAACAAAAATAAACTTTAAGAAATAAAACTTATAGGGTTAATCTGAAATAGGGAAGGAACACAAGGAAGAAATGAAACATTGTCCTCCTCCTAACGCATCTTCCTGAAGGTTTTATGACACATTGCTTTTGACTTTTTCAAACGTTATTTTTCAGAAATACTGTTAAATGTAAATATCTTTCGCATTTGTTTAGCATTTCTACTATGCTATAATACAAAATGAAAATAAAAAAGGTAACTTCTAAAACAAGAGTTGTATGTAGCGTTTTGTAAAGACACCAAAAAGTGTACGCAAAAAAATCTAAAATATTTACAAAAAATTCACACACTTTACACGTGCTCACTTGTTGTTGCCGAACTATCAAACTGGATGCCCTCTACACTGATAAAAATGGTATCCTTGTGGCAAAAGAATCTCTTCATTTGAAAAATATTGATTCAATTCAAAGAAACTGTATTTATTTTAAATCCGTTTCCCTTCGGATAAGATAATTGCTGCATTTAGTTGTAATTCTCTATTCTTTTGACATTTAATTAATTAAGGCAAAGTAAAGGCATTTAGACAAAAGAAATCTTCAATTCATGTCTTTCTGTCAAAATTTAATGTTATTGCTAGAAATCCCACGGTTTTGTACCAAACTACACTGATAAACATGGATTATTTTAGGCAAAAGAATCCATTCATTTGAAAATTATTCTTTTAGTTTAAAGAAACTTTTTGCAAATTCTTTAGCATTTGGCTAAAATCGTTTTCTTAGAACAGGAAAATAAAAATGGTTACTTATACCTTCTCCCAAAGATTAAAATGTTTTAAGAAAATAATGCGGTATTTGTCAATATGTTTTAAGACTTTGACACAAAAGCATCATAATATTGAATAAATCCTTGTGCATTTGACCCAAAACCTACAAGTCAGCAAGTCATGTCCTCCATAGATAAAACACACATACTTAAAGGTTTTGGCTCAAATGCGCGGGGATTAATTCAATATTAGGATGGTTTTGTGTTAAAGTCTTAAAACATATTGACAAATACTTACCGCATTATTTTCCAAAAAAAATTGTCCTTGGGAGGAGAATATATCCTTCTTATTTCTTGACAGATATCCAGAGCCGGATTTATAAATAGGCTAGCTAGGCCATAGCCTACGGCTGCAAATTTTCAAAGGTGGCAATTTTTTTGAGTGTAAGATTAATCAGTTTTTTCTCTTTTGTATAAACAATGTATTTTATGTTTATGACTGTATAAACAATGTCTTTTATATTTTTAATAAATATATGTTTTTAGTAAAAATTATTGTACTTTTTTTTTAATTTTTATAAAAGCAGGTCCTTTTAGTTCTGCAGAACCATGGTTTTAATATTTTTTGTTTGTCTTTTCTTTTTTTCAGTTATTCCTATTAAATAAAAACATAACAGTAGAACATCACATAATGAACGTAATATTTCCGTTTTACAATCACAATTAATAGTAAAAGATTTGAAAATAAATTATCTTTAAATAACGTTAGGCGTCAAAAACAGATGTGTAGTGACGGATGAGTTAACATTATATTAACTTTCTCCGTCAGACGCACGAAGTTGAAACTTGACGGACCGATAAAATGTCATAATTGGACCAATAAGAGCGCTCCCGGATGATCGGACTAACGGACAAACGGATACATGAAAATTAAGCTTTAGACTCCTGCCTTCCTCTCTTTTGTAAAAAGACTACTCGATGCTTCTTTAGCGTATTATATTGACAATATAAAATATGCGACAATTAAATTTTAAGCCTAGTTTAAAAAAATATATAATACACTCACAGGCAAAATAATCGATCCACACACATTTTCGATGAATTTCAATCGCAAATAACTGTTTTATTTAATTTCGGATTTAAACAAATATTAAAGAATATTGTAGATACATTAATGGAGAGTCGCTCACATTTTAAAAATTACTAAAAAATACACGTACGTTTATAATATACAGGTTTAAACAAAAAGATGTTTTTTACCATACGTTTAAGACACTCTGTAGAGTGGCAAAACCGTCTATTGTTCTAAATTAAGTTTTAATTATCAAGTCACATCTATTTTTAACAGTTTTGTTTTTGGTTCACCTTGATATATTTATTTTTGTAGAAAATATGGATTTATTTAAAAAAAAACATTGCAATTTCCAATATTTTTCCTGTATGAAGAACTAAGGTTGCTATGGTCCATCCATAGCCTATGGAGAATGACAGTGACAGTTATGTTGAATCATCCCATACTTGGACATGTCATATACAGCTTTCAAAAGCTATGAAATTGTTTTTTGTAAATTAATGTGTTAATTTTGAGGTGTCTTCTTACTTTTAAAAATGTCTCCCAATAATGGTACCCTTTGTACTTTACTTCTTGTGACGATTAAAACCCTTGCCACGTAATACTGTGACCGTCCATCCTGGATTAAATTAATGGCTCTGGCAACATCAGTCGGAGACATATCCATTTTTTAAAATAAGAAGACACCTCAAAATTTAAACATTAATTTGCAAAAACAATTTGATAGCTTTTGAAAGCCGTGTATGACATGTCCAAGTATGGGATGATTCAACAAAACTGTCACTGTCATTCTCCATAGCCTATGGATGGACCATAGCAACCTTAGTTCTTCATACAGAAAAATATTGGAAATTGCAATAATTTTTTAAAAATCCATATTTTCCACAAAAATAAATATATCGAGGTGAACCAAAAACAAAACTGTTAAGAATAGATGTGACTTGATAAATAAAACTTAATTTAGAACAATATACGGTTTTGCCACTCTACAGAATGTCTTAAACTTATGGTAAAAAACATATTTTTGTTTAAACCTGTATATTATAAACGTACGTCTATTTTTTAGTAATTTTTTAAAATGTGAGCGATTGTCCATTAATTTATCTACAATATTCTTTAATATTCGTTTAAATCCGACATCAAATAAAAAAGTTATTTGCGATTGAAATTCATCGAAAATTTGTGTGGATCGATTATTTTGCCTGTGAGTGTATAAACCTTAAGAAGCAAGCTGCTGAAGTAACAAATAAAAGTCTGCCCAAAACTGACTGAAATCTTTTATAATTGTTGGTTGTATGCAGTCGATCCAAGGATGTGGTGGAGCTCCTGGTGCGCCCACAATGGTTCGTTAGGTGCGACGGAATGGCCGCAAATGCGGTGAGGGACGTGAAGGAAGGACGCCTGACCATCGATCCGCCGCACTTCGACAAAACCTGGTTTAATTGGCTCGAAAATATACGGTAAGTGCCGTCTTTCTTTTCACTCGAAGGATAAGCCGTCGCGACGAGCAACTTTATCATTAGTGCTTACGAAAATCTAATCGAACCAGGATTTTTCTTGATTAAATACTGGATATAATAACACTGTGCTCAAATCGAAAACTTTTTTATTCTAACAAGCAGGGCACCCAGGGGGATTACCTAATTCGAATACCTACGCTAAATCCAATGGAACAAGTCGCTTTTTTAGGTTAGCTCTTGTTTTCGAGATATTTTAGATTTAAATTGTAGATCCAAGCATCACAAAAAACATTATTTTTCTCATATATTATATCACGAGAACTATGAATTCAATCGGTTAAACTAGGCTCAGTAGTTTTTTGTTTGGTTTTTGTTGGAAAATGTTGAATGCAAAATAATTTAATAAAATCACGAGACCGCGTAGCGGTCGAGGGGTTTTATTTTAAATTATTTTGCATGAAACTATTTTCCAAAAAGAAAAATCAAATAAAAAACTTACTGAGCATAGTTTGACAGATTAAATTTATAGGTTGAGTGATATACGTCTAGATTATTTCTCGAATTAAAGGAAACTATTTGACAATTCATAAAATCTGACGTATTCATAAAATCTGACGTATGTGTCAAAATTTATAAATATTTTTTTAAAGAAAATTCCATTAATTTAAGGTATGTAATAAGTAATAATTGATATTTCGTAAACTAGATAACTTATTTTTTTATTGTTTTTAAAAAAATGTTTGTTAAAACTTGTAAATAACACCATAAAATCGTAAACAAAAATCCAATATGGAGGCTAAAATTTAATTGCTGTTAAATAGTTCTAGTGATTTAATCCCTTATTTAAACGAAATTTATTCGAAAATTCAAGGCTTTTGATTGGTTCATATTATAATGAGGGAAATAATCATTTTAAAACCATTTACTGATTATAAATTGATAAAAATCGATGGAATAAATGTATAGAAAGATACATATTGAAAAGAAAGTGTTAAAAAAAATTATTTGGTCGATTTATAAGTGTTTTCTTTATGATTTTTTTTTCAAAAATATACAGTTTTCATAATTTTTCATAAATACAGTATTAAACCTACTAAAATGTTTGGAATACGGCCCTGATTGCTTTATTGTTGTCAACATTCGATAAATAAATACCTTGTTATGGCCTAGGCCGATAAAAAATTTTATGAGGCAAGTAATTAGTTCGATTTTTTCTCGCTATTGTTTTGACAAATTAACCCTTTTCTAAGAAATTAACGTACTAAACTGGTTTAATTTATTTACAATGAGCACTAATTTGTTTGTTTTACTGTTAATGTTTAATATTTTTCATTACATTATTGTAAAATTAAATATGAATAATAAAACAAAAAGTGAGGTTAGGCAACCAAGAAAACGCACGATTTTCTACGATTTAAATTATCTTTAAGTTTTAATTTGCTTTAAGTTTTCAGTGATTTTAGTAATGTTAAACACAGCTTAAACATTCCAAACTACCTATTTTTTAAATAAAAATCCAAACAAATTAAAATTAGATACCTACTTATTTATTAAACAATTAACTGAATTCATTGTAATAGCAAAAATCCATTTCTACTTAAATCATGTTGCTAGGTATTGTCAAACTATTACTGCTTCTAAAAGCAATAATAATTATTGTACATTTAATGTAATCTTTAGCTAATAAATAAATGAGATTCTAAAAAAGTGAGGTTAGGCCGCTTTGATGTTGAATTAAATTGACCTAAATAAAGTGCTTTGAAGATAAAATGTTGTATGCCATTCGGCCAAGAAGTCCCTTTTTTTGCTTCGCTCAATTGTAGGCCTCCGCTACGCGTTGGCCTTCAAACCTTGAGCTTAGCACAAAAAGCCTTACTTCTTAACCTAATGACATAAACAACTATTATACACACTGTTTATATAAACAACGATCAGCGGCAACTTTTAATTTTAAACAATAACAGATTACATGGTAACCATAGATACCGTCACATCACCCGTCACAGGTTTCTTGATACAAAATAATATTTAAAATTTTAGAAATTGTTAAATATCTCTAAAATTATTAACTTCGAAAGGTTTTTTAATTTACTATTCGATTAGGTAAAAACATACTGGTTGTTACATTTAAAATAAAAAAGTTATTAACCTTTCAAGTTAGCCTAATTTGCCCTGGATTTTCTCAGGTGCTTTGTTAAAAATGTTATAGAATTGACATGGAATCTTTTAAACAATATTTTAAGATTCCAAAAATTACAACCTCGCAAACCTAATAAAAAAAAGTTATAGGCTATTTTTGATTGACGCGCATTTGTCAAATTTTAACCCAAAAAAAAATTAATAACCCTTAAAACTATTCACTTTAGGAATAGGACATGGTATAGTAATTTTAATCAGACTTTTATGTAGAATTAAAAAATGTAAAAATATATGGGCTGTTTTATTTAAAATAACAAAGTTGATGTCACTTTCGGAAGTAGCATTTTGTTTAAAATATTTTAGAAAATATACTTAAATGGATTATAAACGCTTTTAAAATTTCAAATCGATATCTTTTTTCGTTCTCCAGAAACTTCTAATGAACCACGTATGTAAAACACCCTGTATATATATATATATATATATATATATATATATATATATATCTGTTTTCATAAATTTAAATTCAATAAATGATCTAAAAATTGAAAAATAATGTTTTTTTTGTGGTTCTTGGGTATACAATTTATATCTAAATTATCTCGAAAACAAAAACGAAAAAACGAAAACGAAAAAACGATTAACACCATTAGATTCAGCGTACTCAAATTAGGTAATCCCCCTTGGGGTATGGTTAATTGTATTATGGGGTTTGATAAAAAAGCTAATATGGCATTTTAGTTCTTTTATGCTTGCACCATTAGAAAACATTCGCATTGCAACAAACATTATTTTATATTGCGATAGCTTATCAAAGAAAATTACTCTTTATTCCCACTGTGTACTTTTCGTTATCTTAAACTACTAAACTAAAATTTATGTTTGTAGCCTTCTCGACTAACTATTGTTGCGCAAATTAATTACCTACATCTAGTGCGAAATATATTACTCTTGATAAAGAGAATTTTGTTTTGTAAAATGCCTTTTTTGGAGGTGTACGCAAGAACGCAAGAAAGCAAGAATTTCAAAGCGCTGAATTATTTCTTAATGCTTGCGGTTCATATTTTCGTTCGCAAGTTTAATCGAAATTTCTTTACAGTCACAAATGATTTATATACAGTGACCGGCAAAAGTATGCAACAAATTAATTAAAAAATGTGCCTTTTTAGTTTATGAAATTCTGAATTTAGCAAAATGCACATTAGGGTGTCCGTTAATGACGATACTTTTGATATTGGCGTCAAAAATTTATTTCGTAAATTTTAATAAGGTCAAAATTAAGGTTTTAAAGTGTTGAAAAAAAAACTGGAAAAATTGGGGAAAAACCTGATTTTTCCCTTTTTTCCAGGCCTTGGAAAAATTTACTTTTTTGGAAACAATTTTTTTCTTGAAAATATACATATTTGAAAAAAGTAGCAATCAACATTATTTAAATAAAAAAAATCCTTTATTACAAAAAAAATAAAACCAAACATTAAATTAAATTTCAAAAAATAAACGTAAACTTAAAATATACTGTCTGTTGGTTTTTTTGTTGCAAAAAGGAGTCCATTCAAAATATCTTACTACAAAATAATGAAGGATTAATAAAGTTAAATTACAAAATTATAATTTTATAAATCGAAAGTTATTTTAATATAGCACCGAAAAGGTTTTTTTTGCGGCCCGGTAGAATATTCTTACTGAATTATAATAAAAGGAATAATTATTATATTCATAATATTATATGATTAAAATCAGCGTCAGAAATTTACTTTTTTCTCGATATCAGTTTACGGATACTATCTGTAAAAATTTGTAAATTTTCAAAAAAATTGTCTTGCATTTTTTCGTATTACACTTTGAATAAAATGTAAAAAATGAAAAATTTCCCAATTTTTCCGTTTTTTCCGAAAAAAAAAACGGTTTTTTTTCCACCGGCTCAATTTTTCCGGAAATTTTAAAACCCCAGGCAAAATTCATTTATACCTTTTTTTTTCAATAATTTTGTTTAATTTACCGACTATTCAATTTTATTTTATACGCTTTTAATATTTAGTTTATGAAGATTGTAAATCATTAATAGTTCATTATAAATTACCTATTATGGCCTAACACCATCTATCACTTGACTATGAACTTTTAAGATAAAAAGTATTTTTCCATTTAGTCAAATATTTTAAATCACCCAGGCAAAATTCAATATGGGCCCCTTCCAACAACCTATAGGAACATATACAGGGTGTTTCATAATATATGCGCAGGACTTCAGGATGTGATAGCTCATCCAAAAAGATGAAAAAAGTCGCTATTTAATTACCCTCTAAAATGCACAATTTTCGAGATACAGGGTGTTGAAATTTTAGAAAAAAAATCGTTTTTTTAGATTATCTCTGGAACCGTTTATCGTACAAAAAACAGCTTTTCTAAGCATTTTCTACTCATAATAAGCTGTTTTGTGCCAGAAAAAATTTTTTTTTACTCATAATTGGTGGAGATTTTGAAGGGGTAGCGGGTGTTTTTCTCCTCAACTTCAACGCCCCTGAAAAAAGTACGGTTTTGAGAGGCCCATTCGAACCGCCAATGTTTTCTACAGAAAAAAGGTACTCTTGGTCATAAGCTCTAAAGTTGACCGTTTTCGAGAAAAATCAACTTTTATGTTTAAAAACATGGTCAATTTTTTGAAAAAAAAATTTTATTACTAATTAAACAAAATTTATTTTAACGTTAGAAAAAGTAACAAAACCAAAAGATAATTGCAAAATTAAAAAAAAATGATTTTTTACTCAAATGCTGAAATGTGCGAAATGCGTTACCTTTACGGTTTGGAGAATTAAGCAAAGACAACTTTCAAATCATTTTTTATTTTGCAATTATGGTTTGGTTTTGTTACTTGTCCTAACGTTAAAATAAATTTTGTTTAATTAGTAAAAAAAAAATATATATTTTTTAAATTGACCATGTTTTTAAACAAAAAGTTGATTTTTCTCGAAAACGGTCAACTTTAGACCTTATGACCAAGAGTACCAGGGGCGTAGAAGTTAAGGAGAAAAACACCCGCTACCCCTTCAAAATCTCCACCAATTATGAGTAAAAAAAAATTTTTTCTGGCACAAAACATAGCTTATTATGAGTAGAAAATGCTTAGAAAAGCTGTTTTTTGTACGATAAACGGTTCCAGAGATAATCTAAAAAAACGACCCTGTATATACGCCAAATACCTTGCCGGCGAAAAACCCCAGCGGCGAAAATAAATTAGGCAACGTTGCAATGAAGGTTAAATATTCACCAATATTCTTTGTTTTGTAACTTTATGTTTGTTCCAACAGCAGAATATGCCTAATATGCATGATAAGTGATAGCTACTTATTATATATATATATATAGATGTCGCCACACTATCGGCAGCCCTCTAATAAGTTATAGCTACTAATATATAAACTTAGATGTCGCCGCAGTATTTTTTTAAACGTCAACAAAATTAGTAAAGAATTTAATTCTTACTAGTTTTGCCTATATTATTTATCTACAGAGATAGATAGAGAGAGATAGAGATAGAGATTTATTTAGCCTTCAAAATTTACAAACCTTTATAATCTGTTTTGTCAACAATGCAGAATGTAAAATATTACAACATACAATATATAATAAATGAATAAAAAAGAATATCAAAAATATATAGCCATTTTAAAAAACATATAAATAATAAATAAATAAAATTAATTAAAATTACATCACATTAAAGATTTAAAAATTCATCTGTTGAATAGAGAACATTTTGTATTAAAAAAAAATTTACAGTCTTTTTAAAAAGTTTTGTATCCATCTTTCTGATATCTTCTGGAAGCTTATTTAAAAGTTGCATCTCCATATAAACGAAATTTCTGCAATCGAAACTATATAAACTAAATAAACTAAATATACAAATATGACAGATTCTTAATATTAAAATAATTTAAGAAACATGTATGTTTTTTAAATTATTTTAATGATGGGCCCCCTATCACCCTGGCCCCCCCGCACTGCTCCCTTGTGCTCCTACTAGTTCCGCCACTGGGATCGAAGAAGTGTCTTAAATTACTAATACTAATATTATACTCTAGCTTGAAATAAAAGAAAAATAAAAACAATGTTAATGATTGCTTTATTGAGATTTTTTTTAAATAAATGATAAAATTATAAACTTAAATGAATAAAAAACATTTTTAAGTTTCAACAACAACAAAAAAACATGTTGTGGACCATTTACAAAGATAAAGCGATACTTTATATTCTATCGAACTAATAGGATTTTATCGTGTGTGCGGGAAAATTGAAATAAAAATAAAATTTTACGTCCGATTTTATTGACATCCTTTGCGAGATTAGCTATTATTCTTTTATTTGCATAAGTTATTATTCTTTTATTTGCATAATTGGCAATAATTTCGGGATGACAAACTCCCAAGAGACACGCATCACTGGCCGAACGATTTTATGTCTTTTTAGCGACTGGTGCGTTTCGAGACAGCTCTGGTGGGGTCATCGAATACCAGCGTACGAATGTTCCGCGGGGAATGACGTGGTGTGGGTAGCGGCCAAAAGTGTTGAGGAAGCGCGTAAAAAAGCCTTGGAAAAGTTAAACCTTAATGAAATTGGTAAAATCAACGTTAGACAGGATGAAGATGTTTTGGACACGTGGTTTTCGTCTTCGCTACTTCCTTTTTCTGCTTTCGGATGGCCCAAACAGGTAAGTGTATGAATTTAATCTTTGACAGAACGTATAGGCCTGACACGGTGGTCAAAACTTAAGTATAGGACGAACAAAAATGCCAACCAAAACTGATAGCATATTTTGATTATAGATCCTTTTGGTAACACTAACATGTATTTATCAAAATCCCAGCTGATCCTATTTTAAAGTTTTGCAAACTTTTTTGTTTTTCTATTTCTCTATATTATTTTGCAATTATTGTACTAAAAGTACAATTTTAATAAAATTAAGCAAAATAATAAACTTTGTATCATTTAAATTACTTTACTCCCCATTATTAATTTATTGAGTCACCTATTATTTTTTACCACTCAAAACAAAACAAAACAAAAAAAAAAACGAAGATTTATATCTTAAATATTTTTTATAACAAAAAATACTGGAAGTTTGTCTATGAAATAATTACAACTTGCAAATTTTGTAAAAAAATAATTAAGGTGGTTATGAAAAAAATTGCTATACGTTATAACGCAAGTGACATTTTGCTTTAGTTGTTTATTTAATGTATACTTTTTTAGTTAAAAATAGTATTTTAAAATGAAAATTAAACCGAAATTCAAGTTAAGCCATGAAGAAAATCGAAAGAAGGTATGTGCTGGCTGTGGAGACAAAATTCAGAGTTTAGGGTTTCTGAGAAAATAAAAAAATTACTGCAGACTTTTTCAAACGAACACTTTAACTTAAGTGATTCAAAATTACCTACTTCAATATGGTAAAAACGGTATTTTTGCATAGCCACAATTTCCAAATTTTCAAAATTTAGAAATTGCTAGAGAATTTCGCGGCAGCCAAGAATGTATGTGCTTTATCTGCAAAATGGCAAGATATAAAGGGCATAAAAAATTATTAAGGGAAGAGGACGGACGAACGAACTAAAGTTTTTTAAAAATACTGTTTCCATGTTAAAAACAATTCCATGTAAAACCCAAGAAAAAGTTTTATTGAAAATTTAAGGCAAGCAGTAATCGATTTTGCTTCAAAGAATCTTTAATTATTTATTAGTTTTCTATTAGGTATACCTTTAAACAATAAATAAGATATTTGCAAACTGTATTTTACATTACTTTATATAATTTATCCATATTTCAGTCATGCATCTGCCAAATTTTTAAAAACATTTGATAATGGTACTAGAGTATTTTATCGAAATGGCATAAACAATTTTAAAATATGCAAAACTTTATTAAAGGATCAGCTGGGATTTTGATAAATACATTTTTGTGTTACCAAAAGAGTCTATAATCAAATTATGCTATCAGTTTTGGTTGGCATTTTTGTTCGTCCTAGTTTTGAGCAGCGTGCTGAAATACAAGATGTCCCAGAACATGCGCTTTCTCATTAACCTTTTAAAAAGGAATGTCATACAATGTTTTAAAGTAAAAATTAAACAACCAATTCTGTACCCCAGAGCCAAAATCTCTAGCAACCACTACAAATTTCCACTCTAGAACCCGCTGAACTGTGAACAGGAAATTCGCGTGCAACTTCCCTTATGCTTTTCCTACTATTTGCATCGTAGGCATTGAAAATAGCTCTTTATTTTCCACTGTTCTAATACGTTAAGGAGCACCTTCAATTTCGTTACAACGCAGAACAACTTTACAGTCCAGGGGACAATCGGAAAAGCGCTGGGAAAAATCTCGTGCTGCCCCCCTAGCATTTCGCCCATACTCCCAATAAATAATCATCATTTCGGCATAAACAGAGCAGGAAAACATAACTTCCCTCCACCAAATCCCATTATAATTTTTCCAAGTATTTTGACGCACTAAACAAGAAAATCACACTCACAACTTTTTTAGAAGGTTTTTGAGTATAGCTTGAAGGTTTTTAAGTATAGCTTGAAATCTAATTGATCGATTTGGCCAAACAAACCCTTAAATTGAAGAAGGTATTTGAGCCCTCTAAAACTTTCTTTTACATACTTTTGATATAGGATAAGTATTTTGACGCTAGCGATTTTAATATATTAAAAAATTCGTTTTTATGGCAAAAATTTAGGTAGAAAATTTACATATCGTCCTGGGAAGGGTTTACTCCAGTTTGAATTTTTTTCGTGAAGCTGACATTTTTACAAAAAAAAACAAGCAAATGTTGATAAAAATACATGGAAAAATGGCGAATTTTTTAGTGGAAGACCAAAATTCAGCTTTTTGACGATTTTTAATTTATTTTGTTCTTTTTTTTTTGTAGTATGTTTATTTTTTAATGAAAACCTAAGTAAAGTGCATGATTGGAATTTTTTAAGTTTTTTTCACCAAAAAACATTATTTAATTTTTTGATATCTCAGCAAGGTATTTTTATTATGGTTTTATTTAGTTAATAAAAAGTGTAAAATGAGTAAAAGAATTAGAGAGTTCGAGTGCGTAAATAACCCGGACAATCTGGGTGACGTAAGTGATGAGCACAGAGAACGTTATCACCAGGAAATGAAGGCTCTGGAGCGGCTTTTGGGATGCAGCCATGATGGGTGATTACATTTGGTCCCTCATACGAGAAACGGAATACGAAAGCAACAAAAAACCAAGGAGCCAGAATTTTTTTAAACCTATGCTTATTAAAACACAATAAAACTTTCAATCTTCAATGTTCAATATTTATTGTTCAATATTCAATATAATTTAATTTCAATATTCAATGTTTAAAATAAAAATCAATGTTCAATATTAAATTTTATATCATTCAATAAAATGAAGAAAAAACGTAAAAATTCTCGAAAAACTAAATTTTGCTCTTCCACTGAAAAATTCATAACTTCGCCATTTATCCATGGATATAATCTATACGTAAAATAAATCAAACTGGACTTATCTTTTCGATTTCTATCTTTCCCAGAAAGATCGATTTTTGTAAAAAAAAAGGACTTGAAACTTCATAAAATCTCCAGTATCGAACTACTGAGCCGATACCAAAACTATACAAAAGAAAGTTGTAGAGGGACCTTTGATTTAAGTGCTTTTATGGTCAAATCGATCAATTTGAACTAGTATAAAACGTCAAAACACCTCAGAAAATTAAAAAAAAAAAACAATTAAAAATTCATATCTCGAAAACGCTTCCATGAACAAATTTTAAGTGTGATTTTCGCGTTTAGTGAGACATGGTGGGCAAAATGGCTGTAAATAGTGTAATGACAGGAACAAAATTTGACAGCAATGTTACAGTGAAGTTGATTCCAGTCGACCAAATATTTTACATATTATAATAACAATTGGCTAGCGTTTTTTATTCTTATCTCGCTTATTTTTTGCTAAATAATTTTAATTTTCAAGTGTGTTTCGCATAGCTTTCGGCACGTTCCCTTTTTCTCTTTGACGCGAGTTCTGGTACACCCTGTATACAGAAACTCTAGATTATGCAAGCCTAAAAGTTGGGTTTTCCACAAATTTCACAATTAGCACATGAATGCGGCTTAATTAAAATCCTTGTACCGTTGCAGCATTTAATCAAAATCCTTTAATTTATTAACACTGCTCGACAAAATTATATTTTTTGTTTGCCACAGGGGAGACATCAACTTATCTAGGGTAATTTGGGTGCGGTTATTCCAAAAATAACATTCATTTTTTATTTTCAAAATATTCAAAACATTCAAATTCAATTAAGGAAAATAAGAAAGTTTTTCTTTTTTTAAAAGCAATGTAGAAATTTTGGGCCGCCACTGGTTGTTCCTATGACAACTGACGCAAAATATGCTTGCACACTGCATCTACATTCATTAAAAATTTACATTTGTGTTATCATTGATTACTTTGTTGATAATTTTTTTTCAGGTTATGTATCTGTCAAAGTATAGTCAATGAAAGAAATAATATTTAAAGTGTTACCGCTTATGTTTAAGCGTTATAAGTTAATAAATCTTTATAGTATCACAATAACAATGGTTGGTTTAAGAATTTAGGAATATAAATACTGCATTTAATGAAATTCCAAAGTGTAAGGTGCAATATAAGTGATATTTTTGTGCTTTGGGTCTAAATTTCTCCATAAAATAGTTTAAACTAAACAGGATTTATTAAAAAAAATCTAACTTATCTATTATGAAATAAGAATATCTGTATCAAAGGTAGGTTAATGTATTAGAACAAAAAATATCATCTAATTTTGTATTTTAAGGTTAGAAAAATCTATTTTGACCAAAATAAATTAGTGGATTATTTGGAAGACTGTGTTAATATGGTCATAAATAAATATAGGTATACTAAATAATTGTTGAATATGGTTCAAATTAAATTGAAGCTTTTATACTTCTAATTACAAAACTTGTACATACCTCTCGGCATACCTACTTTAAGTTAGATTATAAGAAAACAAACAATTTTTAGAGAAACTTGCAATGTGAAAATATTTAATACCCCCATGACATGTGATTTATTAAAATATTAAAGTTATAATGATTTTTCGATGTAGATCAAATTCAGTCGAAGCTTTTTAACTATTTGTATTGACAAAACTTTATGTAGGTACACTTTAATCTGGATAAGAAAAACTACCACATTTTTAAATACCATAGTATATTGTCTTTTAAATAATCCAAAATATTTATTTATTTTGGTCAAAATAAATTTTTCTAACCTTAAAATTACAAAATTAGATGATATTTTTGTTACAATATATTAATAACCTACGTTTAATACAGATATTCTTTTTCATAATAGAGAAGCTAGATTTTTTTTAATAAATGCTGTTTAGTTAAAATTATTTTATGGAGAAAACCAGATATTTGGACCAAATGCATAAAAATATTACTTATTTGGCACCATACACTTTAGAATTTCATTAAATGCAGTATTTATATTCTTAAATTCTTAAACCATTCATTGTTATTGTAATTTTATAAACATTTATACATTTTTAACGCTTAAACATAATATAATTTCTTTCGTTGACTATACTTTGACAGATACATAACCTGAAAAGCCTTTTAAAAGATTGCGTTTCGTACGTGGTCACGTGGTGGTACTTTGAGGTGTGGAGCATAGTACCTACTAACCGCTTTTGAATACGTTAAAAAGTTTGTTTGATATTACATTATACACTGGCGCATACCTGTTTCTTTTTTGGTTGGATGAATAATATCATTGTTTGCTAAAAATGATGATATATAGGATAGGTCAGTGACATCCAGTGTCTTTTAGAATAATGGCTCCCAAATTACCCACCCTGTGGCAAAATGGCTGTTGACCAGTGTATTTTAATTGATTCTTCGGAACAAAGAATAACCTTTAAGAAAGTTTTTCTATAATAGCGGTTAATAATATTTAAATTAATTTCTCTTTGTTTATGATCTTACAAAGGCAAGCAAGCCGTGGTTGGTTTATTGAAAAATAGAGGAAAAAATTGTCGTAGATTATCTTCCACCAAGCGATCGCATAAAGTCTGTTGAGAAAATGTCATTGTAGTTTCAGACGATATGCAGATGACGTTGCAACTGAAACTCAACTAAGCTTTTACGATCAAAAAATAAATTGGCTAATATTTTTCATCAAAGAGCCGGATTTTTAATATCTATGTAAATATGCTAAATGAGCACTCGTTTTGCTTTGCAATTTTAAACCTTGCATTATTTAAATTTTGTTTAAATTAAATTGCCGCGAGCAATGCTTTGCTAAGGGCTTTCAAAACAGTGTTTCAAGCGGCACATATTGGTTTTTGAAAATGTAGATTTTCAACAATTTTTGTTTGTAATAAAAATATTAGTTTAATCCTGGTACATTCGCCATTTTTAATAATAACAGTGCATTAATACAGAGATATTATTATTATAACAAAATAAACAAAATTTTGAAAAAATAGCTTTTGAGCTTTCCGAGATATTAATTATTAAAAGTGAAAAATGTATAGTTTTTAATAATGTTTTGATGTTTTATAGGTTTTAATGGGGTTTTGATAAAATTAAAAATTGTTTATAGAAGAAATGTTCATATACTTTCTCAAAAATTTCATTTCAAGGTCAAACTTTTTCAGTTTATTATTGTTTTTTTGATTTCTACAAATAGAAAATGTCGATATATGGAAGTGTTTTATTTTATATTTCTTTGTTAGCATATAATTTAAAACAAATATTTACTACTATAGAAAAATTAAAAGGAAACGACGTACACGTCATCGATGACGTCATAATTTTTACCAGGTCTGTAATTGAATATTTTAATGCATTTTAAACAACTTTAGTTGGAAGCAATTGCAATGTTGTCATGTTTAGATTAAAATTTTGCATAATAAAATGACGCATAGAAAAAGAATTTGACGTTTTAAAATTTCTAAATTGTCAGTTGTGTTTTTGAATATTTCGTTTAATTCGTGTATAATTTCGTTTATTTTGTTTGTTGTTTGTGGTTTTTTATATATATTTTTCCTGTCAAAGCATTTAAAGTCAAGAGTTGGTATCATCCTTAATACGATATTTTAAGGCAGAACGGAAGAATAATGGACCTTTGTTACCTTTAACAGCTGTTAGAGAGGTAAATAATTATACAAGGTGTCCCTAAACTTAGTGACATAATTTTAGGAGCAGATTAAGCAAGTCAAAATAAGACGAAAATCTAAATAAATATTTTTCCTAATTACGTATGTTTAAAAGATACAGGGTGATAAAGTGTTACTTATCATATCAGATTTTTTAATATAACTTCTACTGTGGTAGACTGGGAAAGGTGATATTTTGCGAACAGTCACTTACTACCAAAACACATATTCACACATAATTACAATTGTTCAAGTAAACACAATGTCGTAGAAACAGGGGTTGCTTAAGCTTATTGTCCCACAAACTTTTAGGTTAGGTTTTTATACCATTTGATGCAATTTTTCGGTTACTCAGTTCGGCTACAATTAATAAGGTATACTTCTCAAACTTCGATAAAATAAACCGTCTCCGAGATATTCGAGTTTACAATAATTGTTTATATATGTTCACTCAAACAATAATTGTTATAATTATTATAATTATGTGTGAATATGTGTTTTGGTAGTAAGTGACTGTTCGCAAAATATCACCTTTCCCAGTCTACCACAGTAGAAGTTATATTAAAAAAACTGATATGATAAGTAACACTTTATCACCCTGTATCTTGGAAACATAAGTAATTAGGAAAATTATTTATGTGGGTTTTCGTCTTATTTTGACTTGTTCAATCTTTTCCTAAATTTATGCCAATAAGTTAAGGGACACCTTGTATATTAGAATATTTAACAGAATATATGAAGGATACATAAAATAATAATAGACTGACTTTAAAATTTCTGGGTTTTATAGCTGAAAATGTCTTTAAAATGGCTAAAACATACTTTTGGCGGTGCATTATATAGGTTATAAAACTCTGAATTTATCATTTTGGTATTCTAAGGTCCCAAATCTAGGAACCCTATGGTATTATTCATTTAAACGCCATCTATCGCCCTGTAGTTGCACTACCACTTTCACTTGATGCAATGATTTTAGCATCACATTGACAACCGTGCCTGATCAGCTGAATGATGACGTGTACGTCGTTTCCTTTTAAATTTACTATAGGTCTTTTTTTCCTTGACGAGAATATGACAGGACAAAACTGTTTGAAATTTTTGCAAATTGCTTATTGGCAAATATTGAAATACATTAATACAGACTCTCATAACTTTTGAAGTTGAGTTAAATTTTCAAAATCCATTGAGAATTTTGGTTTCTTATACTAAAACTATCGACCTATCCGGCTTTATTTTTAATATGCATAAAATCGTCAAACTCAATAAAAAACTTTAGTGACACAAGTATTTACTGTTTACCTGCTCTCCATTTTTTCTCGAAAACAAATTAAATTAAAACAAGGTAGCATCGTGTAATGTTGTGTGTTTTGCAGACCGCCTTGCTGTCCAAACACTACCCGTTGAGCGTAATGGAAACCGGACACGACATCCTGTTTTTCTGGGTGGCCCGCATGGCAATGCTAGGGGCCCAATTAAACGGGGGACAACTTCCCTTCGACAAGGTCCTCTTGCATGGCATCGTGTGCGATTCTCACGGGGCCAAGATGTCCAAGAGTCTGGGCAACGTCATTTCCCCGGATGACGTCATCAACGGGGCATCGCTAAAGGTAGGCAACCACTTTTATTATTCAATAATTAAGTGCTTAAAAGTAAATAATTTTTGGATTAAAAATTAATCGACTATATAAGTCGATAAATGACTTCACAAATTTAAACCAAAACTCTTTATTTTTATCAATTTTAAATTGACATTCTTAACACAAAATTTATAACCTTACATTTAAATAAAAGTCGATAATTTTTAATTTGTTTTGAGATTAAAAATTTTTAACTTTTTAGACTATTTTGGTAGAAAATGTTTTATATGTATATATGTATTATTATATTATTAAATAATAAAAAATTTAACTTTACTAATTTAATCTAAATAATTGTATAAAAAATTTATTTAGGATATACAAAATTTTGCCCAAATAAATTATATTTGTGAAATTATTTTTATTAAAAAATGATAGTTGGAAATTTTTTCAAAAATTGATTGGAAATAATATTGTTTTATATAAAAGTGAACTGTTAGTAAATTTTGACTTTCAATACATGATACTTAAAAATATTTTAAATTTGTAAATGTGAACCTAAAATTTTTATATCGGAAAATTTAAACCAATAAAATTTTAAATTACAAAATTATTTAAGAAATGTTAAAACGGCGTGCCATACTTAAATGCATAGGATTTTACTTATTTTCCGAGTCTTATACATACCTACTAGGGTGTGCCAAAAAGGGCGATATCGTTTTTTTTCACTCTTGTAAACATGAAAATTCCATTGAATACGTCGAAATAAAATTCTGTCCAAATCCCACCCCTTAATTTGAATTTTAAGAGGTGCATCAACCACTTTTAAAATGTATTTTTGTAGAAAATTTTGTTTATATAAATAACTGACATTTTCTACAATAAAAGAGTTTATGCACGATGACATTATAATATGACAATTATAACAAAAATTCTTTGACGTAAACGTCTTTTTATAGCCCGCGGGCGTTATTATGACCCAGCGGGCTATAATGAAACGTCAAAAATTTAAAACAACAATTTTACACCATTTGATATATTCGAAGTAAGTTTATCCGTATAAAGATTTTGATTTTTCCGGCAGCAGGCCGCAATTTTTCGCCTTTTCAGCTGCTTCCTCAATTTCGTTCATCTTTAAACTTTAAAACTGACTGATGTCAGTTGACATTATAATATGACAACTATAACAAAAATTCTTTGACGTAAACGTCTTTAAAAACAATAATATATTAAAAATTATATTATATTAATCGTGCATAAAGTTTTGTATGCATTGCTGGCATAACTGGTTTTTATGGTCCTACGACGCTTTTCTAGCCCTCGCGCTAACGCGCTCGGGCTCGTAATAGCGCCTCGGACCATAAAAACCTTATTATGCCCTTAATACATAAATAACTATTATGCACGATGACATTATAATATGACAATTATAACAAAAATTCTTTGACGTAAACGTCTTTTTATAGCCCGCGGGCGTTATTATGACCCAGCGGGCTATAATGAAACGTCAAAAATTAAAAACAACAATGTTACACGATTTGATATATTCGAAGTAAGTTTTTTCGTATAAAGATTTTGATTTTTCCGGCAGAAGGCCGCAATTTTTCGCCTTTTCAGCTGCTTCCTCAATTTCATTCATCTTTAAACTTTAAAACTGACTGATGTCAGTTGACATTATAATATGACAATTATAACAAAAATTCTTTGACGTAAAAACAATAATATATTAAAAATAATAATATATTGATCGTGCATAAAGTTTTGTATGCATTGCTGGCATAACTGGTTTTTATGGTCCTACGACGCTTTTCTAGCTCTCGCGCTAACGCGCTCGGGCTCGAAATGGCGCCTCGGACCATAAAAACCTTATTATGCCCTTAATACATAAATAACTAATACTTAAAATTACAAAAAAGTATTAAAATAACTTCTAAATATGATAATGTTAAGAAAATATTTTATCCTTTGATTTTTTATTAGGTACTATTATTGCAAAAAGTATTAAAAATTCTTACACAGAAAATGTTAAAGGTACAAAAAGTGACAGTTGTATTTATTGGAATTCCCGTTAGAGTTTCTAATTTGGGAATCTACCGGCGCACCATTAAAATCTCAAATTTTTTACAGTAAAAGAGTAGAGAATGTTTTATTGGCACTGTACGCAAAAAATACTATAGAAAATAATTTAATTGGGAAAAAGTGAGGTTGGATCGGTCTAAAATTTGTTATTATGATATTAAAAACAGAGATGTCGCCACCAGTGTTTATTCCGTCATCCGATAATAGAATATTTAATTATTAACACTTTACGGAATATATGTCATTCCATATATAAAGGTGATATTAGAACGGTCATATTCCGTAATAAGAGTAAAAAAAATAATTTATTTATTTAATAATGAAATTATTTTAACGATTGTACGACATTTGACAACTGCCATCTAACTTAAAATTAACTTCAGTACTAGTACTTTCAATGTTCTACAAAATTGTTTCTTCAAATTTATTGTATCAATAATAGTCAGTGGCGGGCCGTGACATTTCATTTTGGTGAGGCAGAGGCAGGGTTTCGCCCTCATTTAAAGGCGAAGAAATTTTTTTAAACCCAACTTAAAAAAACTGACGTCGCAGTTCACAGCAAATACTTAAACTAAGTAAAAAACTTAGACTGTGGTGGGGAAGGAATCATCTACTTTGTCAATGAAATATATTTTATTGTAAAAATTACGTTTATTTTAAATAAACCTCATTTTTGTCTAATTAATATTTCATTGTTCAGCAAGAACCACGTGAAGGTAAACAATATCGGTACAATTTCTCACCGTAATATATATCCATAATGACTAAATTCACATATATCACCAAGTTCAATTAACTAAAACCACAGAATAAACCACCCACAAAAGAATCATAAAATAGACAAACTCAAAAAAAGAATAAACAAAGTATTTCGTAAATAACCACAGATTTGTTCTTTAAACAGTTCAGAATTTTATAACCAAAACAAACCTAAAGAAGGAATATGTATTTATTTTATTGGTTACTGTAATGACTACAAGATGGCTATAGTGTTAAAATATGTTTATTTTAGAATAGAAATATAATTTGGATTAAATCGATTAATTATAAGAAAAATAATACCATTTATTATTGAATTTTAAAAAACGTGTGAAGTATAATTTATCTAAAATTCCGCAACAGTGTTGCCACAACCTTGGATGTAGGCGTGCCTGCCTCGCGTATGCTAATACGCATTGTAATAGAACGAGACAACAAGGCTAACGCCAATCGTGAGTCTAAATTAGTTCAGGCATGCATTCAAATATTTAAACAGGGTTCCCTCTCACCTGGAAATCCTTGAAAACCTGGAATAGTCAGGGAATCCGTTTAAGTCCAATAAAATCAGGGAAAAGTCAGGGAATTTTGAAAGTCAGCGCAAAAGTCAGGGAATTTGTTAATATTATGGTAAAAGTCAGGGAAATTTATAAAACGGCTTGTTTTCTGACCCTTTTTCGTTGAAAGTCGCCGTATTGGCAACACTGGTATCGTAAACAATTGTTTTCGTACGGCGCCGCCATAACGGCGGTAATTAAAAAGGGTTTTACCCAAAAAAATTTTACACACTAAAAAATCGCAAAGCAATGCACCTGATAAACAAACGAACAATTAACAATAATTAAAACAATTATCATAATTAATTTTAAATTGTTAAAGTTTGTTGTGCATTGCTTTGATGAATATGGTATATTTGTATAAATGTATACCAAAGAATGTTTTTTATGTTTGTACCAAAGAATCTATTTTATTTTAAACTGTTTTTATTAAAATTTTATTTTAATTTTTATTATAATATTTAATTTTTAAATAAATATTAACAAAAATAAACGCTATTTTTGACTTAACATAATTCTGATGGGACACTATTTTGGGAGATAATTGTCTTTATGTCTTTCTTTTATTTATCTGGAATTATAGGGACTTTGGTCAGGGAAAACCTGGAAAAGTCAGGGAATTTTAAATGGTTTTAAAAGAGGGAATGGTTTTAAAAGAGGGAATACCCAGCAACATTTAATAAATGTTGCTGGGTATTCCACGTATAAAATCAATCAATTTTATTGACTATTTCACAATTCATGTAATCCAAACATTACAAATTTATAGTACATTATAGAAAGTAAAATTTTTAAATTATACTTAATTTTTTTAATTCTCTATGATGTTGCACTGCCTCACCTGCCTCCCCTGACGGGCCGCCACTGCTAATAGTTAAGAAGTTATAAGCTTTTAGTTTGCTCTTGTTAAAACTTGTTAACTTATTTTGTCGCACCCTTGATAAGACATTCCCGTTGAACAGAAGTGTTGTGAAAGGTGTCTGGTTGAATGATGAGAATCGTAGTTGGCGGTGCGACCGTGCCCCGGCCTACTGCCGCAATAAATCATCGGAAGATTGTTTTATGCATGTACACGGAAAAAAATCCCTTACTAGGTTTAAGAATAGTTCTATACTTCATGTTGGGAACTTGATTTAAGTATATTTATTATTTCTATGAGATTAGCGTACATTTAAACTAAGTAATGGGATATACTTAATTTTTAAGAAAAACTGTTACTTGATTTGAGATGAGTATTCTTGGATTGAGTTTAAAGGTATTTTATTTTAAAGAAAATTGGTATACTTAAATCAAATATACAATAATACTTAGATGAAAGACCTCTAGTTGTTTACTCAAAGCGGAATATTGCCACTTGATTTAAGTATTCTGTATATTTGTATGAAATTTCGGTATACTTTATTTAAATATATGTATATTTAATACAAGAACGCTTATACTTCAATTTAAGTATAAGACTAGAACAAAGAATACACTATACTGTATTTAAGTATAGCTATTATTAAAACAAATACCTTATTCTTCGCTTAAGTAAATACCGTCCACCCTCTAAGACCGCTTCGCTAAAAGAAAAGACGCAGTTTCTGTGTTCAGTTCTGTCCTGTGTTCTAAGGTGGTAGCGTGTGTACGTGTCGGCAC